GCATCTTTTCATGTGCCTGTTGGCCACCTGGATGTCTTCTTTAGAAAAGTGTCTACTCATGTCTACTGCCCATTTCTTCACTGGATTATTTGTTTTCCGGGTGTGGAGTTTGGTGAGTTATTTATAGATTATGGATACTAGACCTTTGTCTGATATGTCATTTGCAAATGTCTTTTCCCATTCCACCGGCTGCCTTTTAGTTTTGTTGATTGTTTCCTTTGCAGTGCAGAAGCTTTTTATCTTCATAAGGTCCCAATAATTCATTTTTGCTTTTAATTTCCTTGCCTTTGGAGATGTGTCAAGTAAGAAATTGCTGCAGCTGTGGTCAGAGAGGTTTTTTCCTGCTTTCTCCTCTAGGGTTTTGATGGTTTCCTGTCTCACATTCAGGTCCTTCATCCATGTTGAGTTTATTTTGTGAATGGTGTAAGAAAGTGGTCTAGTTTTATTTTTCTGCATGTTGCTGTCCAGTTCTCCCAGCACCACTTGTTAAAGAGACTGTATTTTTTCTATTGGATATTCTTTCCTACTTTGTCAAAGATTAGTTGGCCATACTTTTGTGGGTCTCATCACTTTAAAACAACTCAAACATTACCTTAAAGAATGGGCTGTGGAGCAGTTGCTTGCCACCTCTTACAATAGGATCTTCATATTCAAATTGCCTTTGCAAAGCTTCCGGAAGGCCTTTTACCAAAGCAGCAAGAGCACTACCTGTAAAACTCTTAAGAAAACAACAAGATTATATCCTAGTAAAGCAATCCAAAATGTAGGGAAAGTAACCATTTTATTTCTGTGAGTCAAAAGTTTTGTCATATTGATACTATTCTCCCTAAAAAAATGTGTATTGATATTATCAAATAGGTTTGATGAACACTAAAATTTAAAAGAAGAGCTTGAAAATTTACCTCAGAATGCTTGGTCTAGATTTCAATATAGCCACTTGCAGGGAACCAGGCCCTTTTTGGCCTACAAAGTCCCAACTCCCAAGATCGTTAGGATCAAGCATCCTTTTAACAGTAACTACCTCATCCAACAAAATAAGGGGATGTGGTGAGCCAGACTTGTTGCAAAGTCTAACAGATACAATCCTATGCTCACAGCCATTGACACATCTTTGTTTCCAAAAATCACAGGCCAGCCTGCACTCAGTATATGGAGTAACATAAAGGAGTCCGGATGGGACAAAAGCAGGCTTATTGTTATGTAGAATTTCCCAACTCTTCTCAGTGACTTAAATTTTTCAAGCAGTATTTTTTTAAATTTTTTTTTTAACATTTATTCATTTTTGAGAGACAGAGATAGAGTGTGAGCGGAGGAGGGGCAGAGAGAGAGGGAGATACAGAATCTGAAGCAGGCTCCAGGCTCTGAGCTGTCAGCACAGGGCCTGATGTGGGGCTCGAACTCACAGACTGCGAGATCATGACCTGAGCCGAAGTCAGACACTCAACTGACTGAGCCACCCAGATGCCCCTTAAATTATTCAAGCAACATTTTATTCCCAAAGTCAAACATCTAGAAATTGTGAAGTAATGTTCCGTACCAAAGCTCTTGCTTCTCCATCATTATCTCCAAGTAGCCTGTTTATGTTAATTGATTGCCCAAATTCAGTTGTAAGCAGCTTCCTCAGTCTCTGAAGGGCCCACATTCTGTGACTGGCAGCTTAAATGAGCAGACAGAAAATATCAGAAGCTTGACCATTTTTCCCATCAAGTACAACAGACATGATAATAAAGGTGCTATTTACCTAAGGCACTCAGCTGTGCACAGGCTGCCAGCGATGCTGCAAGGCGAGGGACAATGCTTCTGTTTGAGGTGAGATTGAGCCGGAAGTCTAACAGACATGTCACCAAGTCCATGGACGGACAGGAGAGGACACAGCGATCAGAAAGGAGGTCTTTAGGGCCTGCGAAATGAGCATTGTAAATGTTTCCATGTTGGACAGGATAAGGGCTACCCCACAAGGAGACCTGTAAAATCTGACCAACGAGTGGGCCTCATCTACTCGGATGCCATGCTTAGAGGGTACCCATGGTACCGCCACTGTCTATGTCACACAACTATGCACTGTATTAGACATTTTATCTGAAAATCAAACAGCTTAAGAAGTTCATTCAACAATAATAACTCCTTTCCCATTAGGTAATGGAGTCCTAACATCCCAACAACTGGGCTACTAAGGTTGCTCTTTGGCAGTTATGATCACCACTGTGGTGGGGCCTTGGGCAGTGCTGGCTCCCAACACAACAGGAGAAGGCAGAGTACAATGTACTAAATGAAAACAATTTATGTGTCCACCTTGCTTGAGTCATCAAGATTTGGACATCGCAAGCCCCCTACTTACCTGCAGCTGGCATGATGGGATAGACTGTGAAGCGCCAGCCCCATCCATTCACAGACCCATCACTGATGAACTTCCACTTCAACTCATCCCCTGGGATGCGTAGCTCACTGGACCAGTCAGACCATTCTCGGCCTAGTGGGGAAAATTATGCCCCAGGGTTGGGTTCACTATGTCATGTGATAAACACAAACTTTTTTAAAAACAAAGCAAAATCATTCACACTATGTCTCAAGAACAGCTGACTCCTCCAACCCAAGTTCTCCAAAATCTGAGTTCCTTCTACTCCCAGTGAATGATATTTAATACATACTGCCCTTCCATACACATTACATCAAGTACTAGGGAAAATGAAGACAGATGGGCACTGCCCTGATACATAGCTACCACACTGCAGAGCCAGCAGCACACAAGCCCAGGTCAAGGGCTACAGAGAGTTTCCTGGGGAAGGTCTTATGTGATGGCAGTTACCCAGGAAACAGGAGAAAGAGCCCCAGATTTCCTCACAGAGCATACAATCTTACCAAAACCTGAGCCCAGCCCTTACTGCAGTCAATTATAAACCAAGTCCCTTTAGGAAGCTTTTTCATACATCAAATTTTAGTTTGCACAAGCCTGGTACTCCCATATGTCTTACAGCACCATCTCTAGCTATCTGGGTGAAACTGGGCCTCCAAGATGGCCAATGTCCTGACAAGGACCTACCAGGAACCCAGTAATTCACTGGTGAGGTGCAGATACCATTCTCATAACTATCTTACTCAAAGTACTGTGAACAGGCAGACAAAACCTTCTATACTTTGCAGCAAAATAGCTTACTATCCCTTCCTTTAGTCTCACACAGGAATGAAGCAGTAGCATTCTGTTTAGTAAGTTACTAGTTCTGTTCTATGAAGGTGGGCAGATAGTGTCCTGTTCAACCTCCCTTCACACCTGACCGCACGGAGACAATCCTGTTGACACCATCCATGACTGTGAGAGGGTCGTGGCGCCTCTCTGTAGAGCACTGCCGGTCAAACTCCACCCTGAGTCCTTCTGCACCTGGAGGTCAAGTGAGCACAAAACACACAGTGATCACTCCCAAATGACATACCACAGACAAGGCCATAAGCCGCAACAGACACATAGAAACAGTGAGACTAATATGATGTTTAACAGCTAATGAAAAGCAGAAAGTCAGGAGGAAATGACCTCATAGACAAGAATCTAAGATTGACTGCCTCTTTCCCCCCACTTTATCTCCCACAGAAGACTTCACCTGTGATGGAAAGCCCAAGAATACACTTCTGCTTGGCAAATTCATTTTGTGCTCTCATTTCTGGGCAAATTTTCAGGCTGCAACCTCAGTTGCCAGACCAAACTTTATTATCCCCCCACCCCACACACATTTAAAATGCCACATGAAACCATATTCATCAACATTTAGTATTAGATCTAGAGTCTTCTGTGGGAAAAGTTAGCTTACAAAATAATTAATGAAGAGCAGGACCTAGGTTATGGTGGAAGGAAGAGGTTAACAAATCCCCTCCTTCAAAGCAGCTATAAAACCATTCAAAATTATAAAAGATGATGATCTCAGGGCTCTGCAAATAAATTAAAGGCAAACAACAAGTTGAGACGTGTTTATTCATGAAAAAAACTGCCAAACTTGGATAGAGATGGGAGTACCTATGATGTTCTTGCCTGGGTATGTTTCCATCCAAGCTGGAGGACAGTTCTACCAAGATGGGACTCTGCCTCCAGGGGAAGCTGACTGGTGCAGAGCAGGGAGCAGAAAATGCATGCCAGGGGCACTGCTAATAAAAAGACCAACAAGAAAGCCTCCATCTCCACTGGCCTGAGAACATGATTTGGCGAGTGAGTATCAAATCTGAGAGGTAAGTATTAAATCTGAGAACTATCCAGAAATTTAACAAGGAGATCATAAAATTCAAAGAGCACAGAAGGGCCAATGAGGGCATCATGGAGGCCTGGACAAACTGGGATGCGCGCACACAGGAAAACTGCCAAAACAGAGTTCTATGCCCTCCCTGCTCCCACCTGCATGTAGATCCACCAACAGAAGGGGAGATCAACAGGCTTGAGCATAAGCCAAGAGGATACAGAACAAACCCTAGAAGTCAGGCTAGAGAACAAAAATGAGAACAAAAGAATGAAACCGGGACATCAGAGGCCACATGCTGTGAGGGAACCAGATTTCAGAGAGAATTACAGTCATGTTACAAAACAAGTACAGAACACAATGAAAATAACCCATCAACCAATACAAATCTTGAAAAAGAATATCAGAATCCAGATGATACTACATACTACTACCTAAAATGTTCGCTTTTCAAAAAAATTATGAGACAAGCAAAAACACTGAAAAATGTGAGCCATACTCAAAAGTAAAATCAGTCAATAAAAATGAACTCTGATGCCCAAATGCTAGATCTAGCAAACAATAAAGCAACTGAAATGTTCGAAAAATCCAAGAAAACCAGAGAAAATAAGGTAACACAGAAAACATGGTAACAAATGATAAGACTGACTTAACAAATATAGAATCTCAATGAAGAGGGAGAAACTATGAAAAAAGTACTAAAAGGAAATTTTGGAGTTGGAAAATAGAATGACCCAAATGAAAAATTCATTAGATGGGCAAAATGGCAGAAAAAAGGGAGTCAAATTGAAGACTGTATCATTTCTCTCTTACTCCTGGAAAATAAGAGAAAAAAGACAGGAAAAATGAGAAAGTCTCAAACACCTAGGAGACAACATTAAGGAATACAAACATATGCATCTGGGAATTTCCCCCCAAAAAACAGAAGAGAAAAAAAGGGCACAGAAAGAGTAATTAAAAAATACAGCCCAGAGGCGCCTGGGTGGCGCAGTCGGTTAAGCGTCCGACTTCAGCCAGGTCACGATCTCACGGTCCGTGAGTTCGAGCCCCGCGTCAGGCTCTGGGCTGATGGCTCAGAGCCTGGAGCCTGTTTCCGATTCTGTGTCTCCCTCTCTCTCTGCCCCTCCCCCGTTCATGCTCTGTCTCTCTCTGTCCCAAAAATAAATAAACGTTGAAAAAAAATTAAAAAAAAAAAATACAGCCCAAACCTCCTTATTTGATAAAAAACATTAATCTACAGTTCCCAAAATTAATAAATAAGTAGGATAAAACAAAGAGATCCACACCTAGACATATTATACTGAAACTACTGAAAACCAAAGACAAAAAGAGAAAATCATGAAAGCAGCAAGATTAAAAAAAAAGTCACAAAACATCTAGGGGTACAAAATACCATTAATGGCTGCCTTCAATGGATGTCAGAAACCAGTGGGATGACATGTTTAAAATAATAAAAGGGAAAAACTCTAAGATTTCTAAACTAAGAAATCTGTATCTAGCAAAACTATCCTTCAAAAAGTGAAGGCAAAATTAAAACATTCCCAAATAAACACATAGTGAGAGAACTGCTAGCAGATATGCTTTAGAAAAACCATTTACAGTATTCCAGGCTGAAATACAATGATATCAAACAGAAACCTGAATCCATGGGAAGAAATAAAAAGCACTGGAAAAGGGAAATATGTGGGTTAAGATACAGCATAAGTATTTTTTTCCCTTTCCTTTTCTTAATACTTTTAAAAGACAAAATATTACATGGAGCAGAGCTTAGGAAACTATAGTCCATGGGCCATATTTGTCTCACCCCCCATTTTTGCATAGCCTGTGAGCAAAGAATGATTTGTGTGTTTTCAAATGGTTAGAAAAAAAATCAAAATAATATTTTGTGACACACGGAAGTTTGCTAATCCTTGACATAATGCAATGATTATCATACCATATACATGTATGTATAACAGATATAGTTACAAGTATGTGGCACAGATTTCTAACATATATAAATGTAACATATATGACAATAACAGCAAAAAGGAGAGAAAAGGAAATAGAACTACACTGGAGCAAAGTTGCTACATTTTACCAGAATTAAGATATTAACCATGAAGTGGATGGTGATATATTCAAATGCTTATTTTAGACCCTAGAGCAAACACTAAAAAAAGTGGCTGAAAATCAACAGAGGAATTAAAATGTTACACACGAAAAAATTTTAACACAAAAGAAAGCACTAAAGGAAGAACAAAAGAAGACACAGGCATTAGAGAAAATATAGCAAAATGCCGGATGTAAATCCAACCAAAGCCACAATTACATTAGATATGAATGGCCTAAGCATCTCAATCAAAAAGCAGAGATTGCTGGATGAAAAAAGCAAGATGCAACTAAAAGGCGCATAACCAGAGACAAACCCAGGCTCAAAGACAAAAAAAAGTTCGAAGTAAAAAGATGGAAAAAACTCTAGTATGGAAACAATCACCATAAAAGAAATGGGGTCGCTATACAAATATTACACAAAACAGACTTTAAGGCAAGAAATGTTAATAGAAACAAAAAGGGACATTTCACACTGAAAAAAGAGTCAAACATCAGATATAAATAACAATTACAAAGGTATGCACACCTAACAACAAAGCTCCAAAATATATGAATGGAAAGCTGATAGAAATGAAAGAAGTAGACAAGTCCACAATATCAGCTGAAGATTTCAATATCCAAGTCTCCAGAACTGACAGAATGAATGAAAGAAAATCAGTAAGACTACACATTTCAACAGGACTACCAATCATCTTAACCTTACAGATAATAATTACAGAACACTCCCCCAACAAAGGAAGAAAGTACATTCCTATTAACAGACATGAAACATTCTCTATGATAGACCACATTCTATAAAACAAGTTTCAATAAATTTAAAAGATGTGAAATCATTCAATGTATGACTGAACAACTACAACCATAATTGTATAACTACAGTGGAATTGAATCAGAAATCAACAAAAGAAGGAAATTTGGGAAACCTCCAATACTTAAACGGCACTTCTAAATAATCCATGGTTCAAACAAGAGATCTCAAAAAAGAAATTAGGAAATATTTAGGCTGAACAAAACTTGAAAACACAGCATTATCATAATTTATGTGGCATAGCCAAAGCAGTGTTTAGAAGGAAATCTGTCACTTCAAACTCTATTAGAAAAGAGGTCTCAATAATCTATGGTTCTACCTTAAAAAAACTAAAAACAAAAAGCAAAAACATATTGTACCTGAAGCAGAAGGAAGAAAATTATAAAGATCAGAATAGAAATCAGTAAAAGAGAAAACAGAAAAACAACTGAAGAAAGAAACAAGTCAATGAAACCAGAAATTATTCTTTGAAAAGATCAACAAAATAAACTTTCAAGATGACTGATTGGGGGGGCAGCAATGTAGAAGATACAAATGATCAAAACCAGGAAAAAAAGAAGGAATATCACTATTGTGTTATAATAAAATATGTATTTTATTATACATATCTTGTATCTCATCATTGGCACAAAGCTCCTAAGACCCTAGAAATTTTCTGTTAGGAGTGTCTTTTGTCATTCATAAGGAGCCTTTTTGAGCCCACCTAAATTTATGCTAATGAGGTAATTTAGGGTGGGGTCTCTAGATTACCTCAGAATGGAGCTGGTCACCAGAAAGACCAAATGATTAGAGAGCTGGCTCTTTTATTACCACCAAGAGATCTCTGGGAAGGGGAGGTAAGGTGGAGGGGGTATTGTAGATTAAGATACATAAAAACTCCTGAATAGCAAGATTTGATAAGACACCAAGCTGGGAGGATGATATACCCCAGTTTCATAGCAACAGAAGCCCCTGTATCAGGTTTTTTCCTGACCTCATCCTATGTACCTGTTCATCTTGCTATTCATCTGCACCCTTTATAATATCCTTTATAATAAACTGGTAAACCTATGTGTGAAGCTGAATAAAGGAAAGCTCATTTCAAATGAAGTCAGGAGGCTAGAATGGGGAGCTCTCATGCCCTACCATTCTTCATCAGTTGCAGACCCCAACAGGAAGAGAGGTATCTTGCGTTCCCAACAGGAAGAATGTCAATCCTACACAAACTCTTTCAGAGAAAAGAGGAGGAGGGAACATGTATTAAGGCCAGTATTATCC